AAAAGATTTTTCACCAACTTCACATCCAATAGAGGGCTAATGTCCAAAATATATAAACAACTCAAGAAACTAGGTATCCCAAAACTAAATAACCCAATTAAAATGGGATACAAATCTAAATAGAAAATTCTTGATAGAGGAATCTCAAATGCCTGAGAAACACTTAAATGTTCAACATCCTTAGCCAGCAGGAAAATGAAAATCAAAACTACTTTGAGATTGCATTTTATATCTGTAAGAATGGCTAAGGTCAGTAACACAAGTGACAGCGCATGCTGGGGAGGATGTGGAGCAAGGGGAACAATCCTTCATTGCTGGTAGGCATGTAAACTTGTACAACCACTGTGGAAATCAATATGGAAGTTTCTCAGAAAGCTGGGAATTAGTCTACCTCAAGACCCAGCTATACCACTCTTGCGCATATACCCAATGGATGCTTCATCGTACCATCACCAAGGACTGTTGCTCAACCATGTTCATGTGGCTATATTCATAATAGCCAGGAACTGGTTTTCAGCCTAGATGTCACTCAACAGAAGAATCAATAAGAAAATGTGGTACATTTACACAATGGAATATTACTCAAATGACATAGTGGAATCTGCATGCAAATGGTGAAACTAGAAAGCAAAATCATTCTGACATTTCAAAGTTGGTAACTAAGCTCCCCTCCGTTAGCATGGGTGGGTCGGGTAGAGAGCAGGGGATGCATGGATGTCCCTGTGAGGGGCATAGAAGATTTTAAGGGCAGACTTAAAATGTGGGGACTGGAGTGGAGGGGCAGAGATCGGGCTGGGGAATCGGGTGGAGGAAGAGAGTTTGAAAAGAGGTATCTAGGATTTGGGGGAGCATTTGGGAGAAGGTGTGGAAACAGTGCAGTGTAAACTTCCAAGACACTATGAAGATGACCCTAATGAGGGTTCCTAATAGCGGGTGATACAGAATCTCAACTGGCCAGAGTTTTGCAGCGAGGCAAAGTTTCCAGTAGTGGGACTAGAGTGCATTCAATTGAGATGTTGGCTAAGTGGATCTCATGGAAATCTCTAGACAATCCAAGCTGTTGCTAACTGTGCAAGCTGACAGTGGGGCCCTATTGCTGGGGACAACCATAGAACTTGTTGAACATGGAGTAGAGTATCTATATACATGGAGAACTAGAGTGGCTGGCTACATCCATGGAGAACTAGAACTCACATTCTTGTTTCTTTGGTGTGGGAAGATACTCTTCAGCTATTGAAAGAGAAACATGGACACCAACCCAGCCACAAAACCTTTGACCTATAATCTGTCCTACCTACAAAATCTGCTAGGGCAATAGTGGCACAGAACTTGTGAAAGTAGCCAACTAATGTCTGATTTTATCTATGGTCTACTCTATGAGAAGAAACCATATCTAACATTGCTTGGGTAGACAAGAACCAGAGACTAGACAGCAAAGAGATCTGGGGTAAAACCAAATACTACTGGAAAAAAATCAATAAAATGATTTTAATGATATTCTGCTATACTCACAGATCAGCGCCTTAACCAGTCATCATCAGAGAAGCTTCCTTCAACAGCAGATGGGAACAGAGGCAGAGACCCACAGCCAGACAGTATGCAGACAGACTGTCTAAATTGGAGGCCTCCAACAAATTCCATCCCTCAGCACTCAGGAAATCCTGTAGAAGAGGAATTAGATTATGAGAACCAGGGGGTCAGAGGTCACCAGGGGGTTGGAGGTCACCAAGGGGTTGGAGGTCACCAGGAGAACAAGGCCCTCTGAATCAACTAAAGTTGCATATGAGCTCACAGAGACTAAAGTAGTAAGCCTGGGGCCTACACAGGCCACAATAGGTCCTTTGTGTATGTGTGTGTTATAGCTATTAGCTTAGTATTTTGGGGGGATTCCTGACTGTGAGAACGAGTGGGTCTCTGACTATTGTGCCTGTTCTTGGAAGTCTTTTTCTCCTGTTGGGTTGCTGTGTCCAACTATGATATAGTGGTCTTGCCTCATCTTATTATATTTTATTTTGCCATGTTTGGTTGTTGTCTTTTGGAAGCTTATTTTTTTCTAATGAAAGAAAGTGAGTGGATCTGATGGGGAGGAATGGAGAGAGGGTAAAATATAATCAGGATATGTTGTATGAGAAAATAATCTATTTTCAATAAAAGAAAAAAAATGGGCAAAAACCAAAGACTTTCTTTGCTGAATATCATTATAATTATGGTTAAGGATGAAGCCTGATACCACACATAGTGTCAAGTTTCAAAGAAATTTTCAATAATAAAGGGTTGTTACAGTGTAGATGCTCACAGAGGGCCTTTCTAAAGTTAACACCTATTTTGTATGGAAAGTGAGCAGGTACCTCATTGCAAAGGGGTGTGAGGCCAGTACCATTGCCTCTGACTTGACTTTATTGCTTTACACAGCATGCTGATTCCTGGCAATCACCTTTGACTTTGGCCATACAAAGATATTTCAAAAGGAAATGAGAAAATATTCTGTCCTTCCCTGGCAAATGGAATTGCATTTCAGGAGCACAAGCAGCTGAAAGTTCAAGGCTTGTAAAAGCAGAGACTGACTGAGTTTAATAAACCACAGCAGCACCTGGATCATCCCCATGGAAAATGCCACCAAATAACCAAAAGAAAAAAAAGGTAAATATCAGGCTGTTAGAATCCTTTAAAATGCTGTGTGGTATACAGATCTGATAGAATGCCCCCCCCCTTCTATTTTAAATGTTCTAGTTGATATGTCACAATCTTCTGCGGGGGAGCTTGCTCAGAATGACCTACCTATGAATTTTATTTATGCGGGGGTTTGTGAAGGGCATCTCACTTCGAGTCCTCATGTCCAGTCAGTAACTTATCTTGACAACTCTGTTTTAGGGGGAATAGTTGACTGGCTCTGACACTTTCATGGCAGCCTCTACAGTGTCTTTTAAGAGTGCCGGTTTCCTTTTGCACTTAAGCTTTTTTTGAAGTCCTATGCATTAGTGGCATTGTCAGTGTGGTGAAGCTTTGCAACCCTGATGTTCATAGTCTTCCATTCTGTGCATACTGGATGGGCAGACTGTGCCATCTTTCCAGTAGATTGCATGAACATTACTTGCAACTGGGTGTGTTACAGGCACACAGGCAGCTCCACAAGGGTGACCCACAACCTGACAGGGTCTGATGGACAAGTTGGTCCTCAGCACCCTGCTTTTTCTTCCCCTCAGTTCACCTGTGATGGGAAAGCAGAGCATAAAGAATTGGAGAGAAGGCAGGGAGGGCTTTGGGGACCAGGGTGAGAAGCAGCCAACACAGTTTCTGTCCCACAGTTTTATGAGTCATTCTTCAGACATTGGTTGAAATTACAGTATGTTTAATACTGCTCCAAGCTCTGGGAGTGTCAAGGCCAAACAAAATATCTGAAAACCAAACTAAACCAATCAAGCAAGCAACCAAACCAAACCAACCAATTCAACCAACCAAACCAAATTAATTTGGCCAATCCAAATCAACCAACCAGCCAACCAACTAAATCAACCAATTAACAAACCAAATAACCAAACTAACCAACCCAATCAGCCAACTCACCCAAACAACCAACCAAACCAACCAGCTAACCAAATGAACTAACCAACCAAACAAGCCAACCTACCAAATCAACCAACTAACCAACAAACTAACCAAATTAATTAACCAACCCAAACTGCCAACCAAACTAATCAACCAAACCAACCAACCAACCAAAGAAACCCCCCCACGTTTCACACACACACACACACACACACACACACACACACACACACACACACGAAAGATGAAATCATTCAAGTCCCTGCCCTCACAAAGATAATACCTAGCAGCAAATACTTGGGAAGTAAATGGATGTCTAGATTCAGGCAGTGACAGCAGGAGTGACAGCTGGAGGCAGGCACAGCTTCCCATTTTGTAATACTATTAAGCACTGCCTTAGCCCAAATTGATTTCACCGACTTTAAGATTCCAGACTCTTCGTCTGACAAATGTCACACTTGTGTACAAGCATTTGCACTTTATTTAGAATGCCAATTTGAAGGGTTGCAAGGAAGAAAAAGGCCTAGTTTGCCTTTGTGCGTTAGTTCTGGGGAGAATTACCTCTGAGCAGAGTGGTCAAAACCTTTCCAAGAAAACCGGCAGGTGGCACCTGTATGGCGCAGATGGGGAGAGCCATCCGCCCCACCCCCGTAGCCCCGACCGTCCAAGCTACCGGTCACCGGCGGGCTTGTTGGCGAGGAAGTGGGGGAGTTTGAGTTTTTTCAGACTGCGTGATTACACACCCGACTTCCTGACACCCCAAACACACCGAGGGCGGGTTTGTCCCCACACAACCAGGCAGGCAAAAGCATCAGCCTGACGGTTGGGAGCGCTCTGAAGGTGGGCACTGGCTCTGGGCTGCCCCGCGCCCAGGTCTGCTCAGCCTGGTAGTCTAGGGGAGAAACAGTTCTCAGGACTCTGACACACAGAAGTCGCCAGAACGTGGGACACACTTCACACCTCACCAACGCCCAACCCTCCGGGGCACAGTCAGTTGAGACCACTGCGAGGCTCCGTCTCTTGTCCTTTTGCATTTTTCCCGTTCTGCAGCCGCTTCTCCTGCCCGGGTCTCCCTGTAGCTGCCCGGGGCCCTCCCTCCCCTTCGCTCCTGTGGTCCCACACCCCAGGGCGGGTAGCTGTCCCCTGAGACATCACAGAGTCTGAGTGGCGGCGTCAGTAAACAGAAGCGGCGTGTTGTGGTCATTTGTAGCTGTGCGCTGGGGCCACAAACTCCATCTGTGGCAGGGAGGCGAGCTGCAGGGCTGCAGGGCTGCTGCTTGTCTTAGGTGGCTGGTTGGTGACATTGGGAGGAGACCGCTCCGAGGGAGTGAGCCTAGGACGACGAGGAAGAGAGCAGGGCATTGGGGGTGGGGACGTGGCGACAGTGCCAGGGGGCGTGAGAGCTGCGGGCGAGGAGCAACTTCTCCCGGGCGCGCGCGGCGGGGCGGCGGGCGGAGCGTGAGCTGTTAGCCCGGAGCGGGGAGCTGGCAGCCGGGAGCCACGGCCCGCGCCCTGCGCGCCAGCATCCTCCGGGTTCCCAGCCCCGGGTGCTGAGCTCGCCGCTATAAATAGCAGGTTACAGCTTCTGCTCGGGCGCACACGCTCTCACTGGAGAACGCAGGAAAGTCATCCCGAAAAGTGTCTGCCGCTGCTATCGCCCCCTACTCAGCCTCTGCAAGAGGTAACATCCTACCTGGGATCCTGGGGCTCCGGGTAGGGAATTTTGCGGGGTGCGGCGGGTGAGGATGGGTGAATCCGGAGGCGGTGGGCACGCATCTGAGAGCTCAGGGTGGTGGTGGAGGTGGGGACTGTGTCCTGCCTGAGAGGCAGCTGATGTGTTTCTTATCAAGTTTCCCAGCTTGCGACCGCTACCATCCCTTCAGCCTCGCCCCAGGGGGTGGCTCGTCCGGTTATCCCTGTGACCCCGGATTATTGTCTGCCGGCGCTCCTCGGCCTGGCACTCACGCACGCACACAGACAGACCACACACGCACACACACACCACACTGCCAGGTGACACTGAGGTCTGGCCCAGCTGACCTGCCCAGGCTGTGCCCACCTAAGCGGTTCTTAAAAGGCTACATGGGTCTGCACGGGGGCTCCTTTTTAACCCGAGTCCCTACTTCCAGTTGCTGGCTGCCACCTGCTTCAGAGGAAGTGGTCATGGTCTTTAAGGTGTGGAAGGGATGCTGGGGTCCCAGTTGACTAAAGAGCCCCCTCGCTATGGCCATACCTAATCCCACCTTCAGCTACTCCTGGCCAAGAAAAACAAACAAACAAATAAATAAAACCCAAACCCCAAAAACAGGCCTGTTTCCCCTTGGATTACCTTCATGCTCTACCTACCCCGAAGAGGAGTAAAGAAAGAGTTAGGAAATCAGGACCTCAAAGTAAGAGGCGGTGGTTGGAGGATCATTTGGAGTCTGAATTCTGCACTGCAGCCTCCTTGAGCTCATCTGGCCCCTCTGGCAGGGCCAGGAACCAGAGTGAGTCCAGGAGTCTGCTTCTTGCCTGGACTTTCAGTTCGCAGTCAGTGCCAGAAGCACCTGGGTTTGCCCTTCCTCGACTTTGATTTTCCTTCCCTCCAGGCGGTGGTTTCTGCCCCTGAGCACACCCACTGATTTCTGTTTGGAGACAGAGCTTTATAGGTGAGGATGCGCATATTGATGAGATAGTTGCAACCGCTCAAAACTTACTGGAAAAACCCAGACAAGAGAGGAGGCAGTTACTGTTTGTGGACCGAGGTTTCTTAAGGGCAAGGATGCTCTTGTTGATTTTGTTCCTCCAGCACCAAGTTCCCAGGGAAACCCGGCAGGACATTCTATCATGCTTGTTTTTTATGATCTAGAATGTTTCTTTTTCAACCTTTATGGTTTTCTTTCTCCTGATTCCGGCTTTCTCCCTCTTTCTAAAATGCCATCTGAGGCTATTACTTGGGTGTTTCATGCTGTTTATAGTTCCCCTCAGCATGCAAGAACTTATTTGTAAAGGTGTATCTTTATGAAATACACAAAAGTGCAGAAGAGAGGGATGGGTTCATGTCTCATAGCATGGGCACCAGGTGCCCCTCTTCATAGGTACACATCTACCGTTAGAGGACCTAACTAACATATGCAGGAATCTTCTTAATGAATTCTGGAATCAGAATGGTATCATCTGAGTTGGTTCAGAGACTCATCAACAGAGTGGTTACCTGATGGTGTCACAGGGAGAGGCCAGAGAGGCTTGGGCAAGCGGGCACTGTCAGCTCAGTCAGTGTGGGAGGAAATACATTATCTCATGTTCTTAGGGATGTACTCCCGGGAAGCATTGACATAAAATCACAGTAATTGATCCGTGCCTCTGGGCCCAGCACATGGGCTTTAAAGTCAAACCTGTTGGCCATGTTGGTGTTGCAGTAAGCTAAAATGATTTGGAAAAAAAGAAGAAGAAAAAAAGATTTTTATGGGATCTCTCTGTGTGTGAGTTGTGTATTTGAATCTATATTTGTTTCTTGCTCTTTTCCTTTGGCCCTTCTTCTTCTGTATTTTGTTTTGTTTCGCCCTATTTTATTATTTTTTTGGATGCCTGTTATCTAATAAGAGACAGAAAGGGTGTGGATTCAGGTGGGAGGGGAAGTGGGGAGGATTTCTGAGGAATTGTGGAGGGGAAAGTGCAATCAGAATATAATGTATAAAAAAACCTAATTTCATTTAAAAAATTAAAAAAAACTAGTCTCATTAAAAGAAAAGAAAAAGAAAAAACAATGCTGTTTTTTTTTTTCTGTGAATTTTTCTCAACTGTGACTATTAAGATTGTCCTTGAAAGGCTATGAGTGCGGTGAGAGGGTAGAGGCTCTGTGTTATTGGGAAACATTTTCCAATTGAATATTAACATTCTGAATTGTATTCTCACTGATGAGCTTAAAGTGGTATTTATTTGTGATAAACTAATGGCCAACAGGGTGTTTGGAACAGGGCTTTGATTTTATCCTAACAAAATGAGAACAAGCTGATAAACCAAACTGAGTCTTGACTCCCAAAACATTTAAAGAATCACCAAAGTTCTGGACAGAAAATATTCTTAGAATGTTGGGCTCAGGACCACTTTGAGGATTCAGATTGACTGTATGAATCTTTAAATCTTACAAGATTCCTTTGTCAAAATGCTATCTGCCTCTAATACTGTAAACAGTCAGCTTTGGTTAGAGGACAATGCAATTACATTTTAGTTTTCTGAAACAGAAAGTGAAGTGAAGCCAGCTATTTGCTCTATACTGTGGTGCAAATTCAAAGTTCCTGATTTCTCTTCTAAAACCCTGCATATTGCCTTTTAGCTCAAGTCAGGCCATTCCCCCCTCTTGGGTAGCAGTTAACTTCCACTGCCCTTAGGCAAAATCATAGAAGGCAACTTGGTGAAAGACAGGAACAGCTGCCAACCCATCTTATCTCTTAGCAACCAACTAGACATCAGTTCCAGGTAAGCATCCAGCAACTAAAAATGCAAAGTCCAAACAGGGGAAAATTGTAATTAGTGAGGAAAACGCTTTCTGCATATCTACCATGTTTGCCTTTTCCACTCAGTGGTACTAATAGTTAGATAAACAAGTGTCATATATTTTATAATCTGCATGGAATAAACATCTGTCACTCATATAGCATTTTCAGTTTCAATAATGACTACATGTTCAGAACATGTATTTTCTGTGTTCTGTATCTTATTCTTTAAAAATGACTGATTGCTCGCTTTAAAGTCCGAAAGAACTCACTCTAAAAGCCAGGTTGTTGTTGTTTTCTTTTTGCATGTTGCATTAGGAATCACTACCAGACAGCCCCTTAGCAGACACTCATTTCATATGTACTTTAATACTGTTCAATAAATAATTTCAGCATGAATATTTGTTTATAGATAAATCCAAATGATAATGATAATGCTACAATTGGATTTTTGCATCTAAAAGTCATGTAGTCTTTGTGTTTCAAAACTTTAGAAAAAAATATTTAGGCAGTGGAAAAGCGTATAAGGGAGCTTCTCAGCTTCTAAGGAGTCCCAGGCATCATTGGAGTCAGTCTATCCCAGCCAGCCTCTTTATGCAGTTCATTGCCACATCCATCTTTGCGGGGAACCTGGGTTTGTTCTCAGCCCCTACAATGGTCAGCTCACGGGGGCTTATAACTCCATTTTTCAGGGGATGCAGCCCTCTTTCATGGTCTTCCTCAGGCACCTACATATGCACAGTGCACATAAAACTCATATAGGCACACATACATTTACACACACACACAAGGCTATAGTGTTCTCGTCTTTTATCTAAGGCACTGTGGCACCCCAACCTTCTGCCCTAGGAGTACCTCATTGTAGACAATATACGCGAGGCTTGTGCTTGTGGAGTCTTGACCTTACACCTTTCCAGTTGTCTTTGTAATTTTGCTGACCCGTGGGTGTCACCTCAGCACAGTGCAGCACTCTTAAATGACGTTTTCCTGAGCTGTACTTGGAGGAAGTCTGTTTGTGCATTATGAAGCTGTTGTGCCTACATGCCCTGATGGTACATAGGGCCGTGCAGAGGACTAAGTGAGTGGACAGAGGACATTGTGAGCTTCTCAAATTGTGAGCTCTGATGGAATTTCCTTTGGGAATTACTTAAATTAATAATTTTCACGAGGATGGAGTAACTTTTTAAATGGGAATTTTAACTATTTATCATGTATCTGTTATCTAGCATCTGACTACCCAACAAATTACCAATCAATATCTATCTGTCTGTCTATCTATCCATCCACCCATCCACTCACCTGTCTTCCTATTTTCAGCAAAGCTGTGCAACAAGCTTAACAGAGAAATTATTTAATGGTTTTCTCTGCTGTTTCCAATGTCAGGAATGGTTGTAGGCACACAGGCAAAGTTAAAGTCAGGTTGATGCCGCATCGCCGAAGCAACAATAGCAATGAAAAAATCTTCCAAGATACAAAGATACAAAAGGAAAGTGTATTAAAAACTTCTCTAAGATGTTTACATAATGTAAACTTTAATTTAAGTTATCACAAGACATTTTTTATTTCTCAAAAGAGTGAGCTTTTCAAAGGTAAGTGGTCATGGTTTAAAAAGAGCTCTCAAAATTGTTCACTATAAAATTGTAGCTGACTAAGACCTAGAAATGCATCTCAGGGTGAGAACAGTGCCTCAAAGTCAGTCAGGACAGGAACTGAAGCAGGCAGGAACCTGGAGGCAGAAGCTAAAGCAGAGGCCATGGAGGGTGCGGCTTACTGGTTTGCTCCTTATGGCTTGCTCAGCCTGTTTTCTTATAGAAGCCAGGACCACTAGCCCAGGGATGGCCCCATCGGCAACGGACTGTACCCTTTCCCATCAATCAATAATTAAGAAAATATCCTACAGGCTTGCCTATAGCCCCACCTTATGGTGGCATTTTCTCAATTGAGGTTCCCTCTTTTCAGATAACTCTAGATTGTGTCAAGTTGACATAAAACTATCCAGCCCATGAAAAACAAACAACAACAAAATCTCAAACAACAGCAACCAAAACAACCTAACACCCATCCAGCTATCTGAGTGTTTGCTGAGCTGAAAATGTGGGTCCATGGGAACACACTTGCCTGGTTGGAGGAAGAACGTGGGCAGTCCCCAGCACTACGAAATAAGCCAACCAGAGCCCTTACAGTTACAGTTGGTGGTCCTGCGCAG